TAAAGAACTGGGGGTGCATACCCCAAACTTAGTTGTGCAGCTAAAACTAAAACTGAAAAATCAAATTTTGATTTTTCAAATTCAGCTCATAAAATCTATTTTACAGTGTGCTCTGTCTTAAGTAGTCATAGTTACACTTAATGAATTGAACCAGATTGACCAATTAAAAATTAAACTATAAGAATCAGATTGAATAAAGATATTGGGGGTGTGCCAAACCTTTGTTATCATCTTCACAGTTCCTACTTAATGATATCAAGAATCATTATAGCTATTTTCATTTAATCCTCTCTCAAAGCCTATGAGATGAGACCTATCATTAATAACCCGATTATATTTGAAGAAACCAAGGCTTAAACAGGTTAAATAACTTGCCCAAGGTCAGATAGATAGTAACTGGCATGCCAGGCCTCAAACCCAATTACAAGTGGTGGCAAAGCCATGCTCCAACTTGTTGGAATTCTTCATCAGGGATATATAAAGCCAGTCATTATTTAAAAAGCCATGCTTAACTATGGTCAACTCTTCACTATGTACATGGCTATCAAGATAATTATACCAAGATGGGCGTGGTAGCCCACATCTGTACTCCCAGTACATCTGTACTAGGGAGACTGAGGCAGAAGTATTACAAGTTCAATGCCAGCATGGGCAATTTAGTGAGACCTTGTCTTCAATTTTTTTAAAGAAGTTAAAAGGGCTACGGATGTGCTTCAATGGTTGAGCACTTGCTTAGCACACATGAGCCCTGAGTTCAATCCCCAGCACCATGCACAAAAACAGATAAGTATATCAAAACATTATATCTAGGTGTGCTGGTGTAAACCTGTAATCCTAGCAATTTGGGAGGTTAGGGCAGGGGGATCACAGGTTTGAGGCTAGACTTAGCAATTTAGGGAAACCCTGTCTCAAAAAATAAAAAGAACTGGAGATAAAGAACCTGTGGGTTAAATCCCCAGTGCCCCCCCCAAAAAAAACCCCATCATGTTGTACCTTAAATATATACAATTCAAAAACTATAGCCACAATGAAATCTACTATTCTTTATATTATGCACCAAATTTTTTTTAAAAAGAGACTGAAAAAAACTGATATAATTCTAAAAAATTAGGGAAAATATAAGTTCTATTGTTAGGATCCCCAATTAAGGAAATTTTTAGCTCACCAAATAAATAATATGTAAAGGAGCCTAACACTCTTCCTGGCATAGTATTACATAGTAATTATTCAGTGTTCAAACTGCTTAGTGTTATAAAATGGCATTTAATATTTGCTGAACTGAATTGATAGCAGGTTCTAGGACATTGATATAAGGTTGGTCTAGGGCCTCATCTAAAGCAGTGTCCACTTTGCAGTACCCAGCCTGTATTTTGAGATGCATGACTCTGTTCATAGTTCCTTGGTAGTTTTGGTGACACTGGACTTCTTATATTATGGATGTTAGCTTACTCGACTTAAGTATTCTATTGAACATTACATTTCAGCATTGTGTGTATTTAAAAATATATAATATGTCAAACCCATGATTTTGCATACTTTTTAATAAGACAAGAATAAAGTGGATACTGAAGTAAAAGAAGTAACTTAATTGAAATAACATTAAGTAAGTGTAGATAATAGAAGCATTTAGCAAGAATCATAAATTTGATTAAGGTGGCATGTGAATAACTGGAGTCTGAAGCACTGATCTGTACTAAGGGGAACAGGCAAATGATGTGTTTTGAACATTCTTGGTATGTGAGCTTCCCATAAGTCTGTTTGTATAGGCCACTAGGATCCTCACTGGGATGTTCCAGTGCCCTGCACAGACTAGATATAGGTGTAGAAGAAAATTTGCTTACTCTCCAAAAATTAGACAGTCTGATAGATCCTATAAGGTATGCACATCTGTATGCAGTAGGACCTAAGTTCCATATTATATAAGAGTTCAAAGGAAAAGGAGATTACTTCCTGCTCAGATAATGAAGGAAGACTTCACTATTGATGTTGAAAGATGAATAGAACTTTTGTAGGATAATGCAGATGATACAGAAGAAATGATCAGAGACATGCAGTTGGAACAGATCAAAGCATGTTTAAAGGAGCAGTAGAGGCTGTTTTCACTAGGGTGTAGTATCACTATTAAGGAAAATGGAATCTGGTTGAGAGGATATTTAGTGCTAGGCTGGGTAAATCCATTGAACCATTATTTAGATGTCTTAAAGCTGCTTTGTTGTTGTTGTTGTTAAGTATGTTGTCATTACTATAGAAGTAATGTTTAGTTTAGGGTGGTGACCTGAGGGAGAATCAAGATAGATTAATATTACTGCTGACAGAAATATAAAAACTAAAGTCACACACACACACACACACACACACACACACACACACGCCAACTGAAAGAAGAAACTAGAGCAGCAAGAGATCAGAGTAGAAAGAACAAGCTAACCATTGGCAACAGAAGAAGTAGCACAGAAATAACCTGGGTCTGGGAGAATTTGGGGTTTGGGGTGATATGGGCAGTAGGCCACAAACCCTGTTTCTCTGTAAGGAAATCATCTTCTTTAAAACAAAAGTCTAATCTAGAAGGCTAGGTGAGATGGCTAACAGGGGGCATTCACTTTTGCATCCTTGGTTATATTCTTCCCCTAGAAGATGGCTGGCTCCCATCTTGGGTCCTCCATGTTGACCTCTGGAGAGGCAATTCCTCTTTGAAAATCTTGGACTGTATCTGATAACCCTTTCCTTTGTGGTTTCCCCAACACTGTTGAAATAAGCTTGATTCTTTTCAAAAAGACTTTATTAAATATTAAAGAATAAACAAGAAATAAAATATAAAAAGTCCTGCCAAATTTATTGATCATTATCTGATATTACTGTCCCTGGTCAAACCACCCTCACCCCTCAAATCTCTTTTCCCTTGTATTGTCAGAGATATCTTCCTAAAATCCAAATTTAGCCATATCATTCCCCTGCTCAATTATTTCATGGCTTCTCATTTGTACATGGGTTACACTTTAGCATGCTGAATTTCTTATAGTTATTTCTGGAGTAAGAAATGTTTTATAATTCTGTTTACATAATGATTATTTCATTTATCAGCTTGGGAAGGGTTTATAGTTAAAATTGAGGTCTATTTGAGAAGGGTAAGGACCTTCCTGTGACTATATGTAAAAATTCCAGCTCTTTTCTAAAGCCTTCCTAGAATAGCTTCCTCAGAAGGGTCAGGAGTCACTGGACTCCACACTCCTATAGTGCTGGATTTCTGATAATTGTATATTCAGAGTGCCTCAAGGAAAAGTCCCAGCAGGTAAGATTAAAGCCCTTTGAAGAGTTCTATGTTTTATAAATTGGTATTCTACAAAATTTTTTTTTTCTTTTTTTGGTACTGTGGATCGAACACAGGATGCTTTACCACTGAGCTACACATTCTCAGCCATTTTTATTTTTTGAGACAAGGTCTCTCTAGTTCCTTAGGGCCTTGCCAAGTTGCTGAGGCTGGCCTTAAACTTGCAATCCTCCTGCCTCAGCCTTCCAAGTCGCTGGTATTACAAGTGTGTGCCACCATGCCTGGCTCTACATAAGATTTTTTGAGGGCTGTCTGATGCTTTCAAAAATGGTGGAGTAGTGAGAAGACATTAGATGGTCTTTCAAATTCTTTTCAGCTCCACAATTCTCTGAGAATCCAGATCCCATCTTTTTTTTTCCTTTATCTTTTTCCAGCTCCCTTCTTTTTTGATACACTTTGTTAATATTGTTCCATATAATTAGTATCGTGTTAGAAAATAGTCGCATTTCAGAGTTACAAAAGATGTTAGCAGTTATCTTATCCTGTTTTCCAAAATGACCTTCAAATTAGAACTCTTAAGAACTGCTCATTGTTTACAAAAACCACTGTGTAGCTAAATAGGTTGAGACTGTACTTTTGCCATATTGCTCATTTTAAAGTCTCTGGAAAATCTTGTAATAAAGAAACCTGTGTAGCTTACATTTATTTGATCAGAAAGCCTTGGTTTTGAGTAACACCTTTTAACATCGTGTGGCATATAATTTGGGAAATACCCATATAGTTCAGCACCCACCTTTTGCAAAGAATTTGAAATAGTAAATGATTTATCCAGTGTTACATGGCTAGTTATCAGAATGCAGTCTAGTATTAATCCTTGATTGTTCCTGCTTAACTTATAAATTTCCTAATGGAGTGATAGATTATGTCTTACAGCTTTACCTCTCAGGTATTGGGAACATAACAAGTGAACACCTCTAGTAAATATATGGTAGCTCTATGATTGAAACTTGTAAGAAAATTAAGCATTATAGTATGAATTGGTTTTTGTATATGTATATGTTTTTGATTTTTTTAAAAACAGAAATGTTGCTCTCCTACACATAAATTCCCCTCTTACAACTGCTATGTCCACGTATGCACATGTGCTGGGGGGCTGTGGTTGTTTCTCCGAAGTTCCTGTTGTCAATAGTTCATGGTCCTTGATTCATACTGTCTATTGGGAATCATTCTGTGGGCTGCTTTGCCTCAGGGATAATTTGATTAGGGGTGTTGCTATTTGATACCATTCAGGAAAATGTTCAACTGTAAAGAGTATTGGATTTGTCACAGAATGATATTGAAGGGAAGCCAGGGACAAGCAAGCTAATAACATGCTAGACTGGTTATTAACACTGGGCCTTTTGGCAGTTTTGTTCACCAGTTTTTGTTGATATCACTGCCTTCCTAAAAGAAAGTGTGTGACCAGTTTGATTTTTGTTTGGCAAGGACATAAACTAATACCAGATAAAGAAGCTCATAGTAAGTTGATACAGAGCCTGTGCTTTCCACACTACTGTGTTTTGTCCTCTGAGGTTAGATATCTATGATAGAAGAAACATTTTTCTAAGGGAGCAAGATTGGAATGCACTGAAATGAAATGCTCACATTGACCACATCAGCTATAATGGAGCTTATCTGATGTAGTGACTCAGTCTCTGTGAATCTCACTGTGTATGTGCTCTGTTTTGTGCAGAGAACCTTCATCATCCAGGACCTGCCAGAGGCCACGAAAAAATATGGGGAGGGGTAAGTTTCTCATTCTTTTAAAGTAATTTAAAATCTCTCTATACTAATCCATTGTAGTCAGGAAATTTCATTTGCAACTCAAAGTATGTTTGTGTGTACCTAAATTGTATTTCCTGTTAGTGTTAGAAAGTTTTTGTCAGAAGCAGGGCTGTGCAGAGAAAGACCAACATATCACGTGTTGCCTACTGGTCTTTTATTCTGCTGTCTACCAGTAAAGGGAAAGACAGCTTAAACCCAGCTTTTTCCCACTTCTTAGCAAGGCTACCCATTATGCTTTCAATGTTTTCTAAGCTTTGTTAACGGTAATAGAAACAACTAAAAAAGTTTCTCTTATGCAACCAATGACAATAGTAAAATGATTCATCTGTGAGGTTGATTTGTAAACAGTTTGGTTTCACTTAAGATCTTAAGGCCCAGCATTAAGAAACGTTAGATCAATTCTTTGTGCTTGTTTTTGCTTTCTCATAAGGCTACGGGAAGTAGGCAAAAGACAAACCTAAAGTTATTTTATTGAAAATATTAACCAGCTACCACAGTGACTTCATAAATAATTCTAACCAGTGAAGATGATAAAATCAGAGTGCTATAAAGGACCCCAGAAGAAGACTTTGTGTGATGTAGCATAGTGAGAAAAGTATTGGATGCAATGAGAAGGCCTGAATTTGAGTTCTATATCTACTACCTCCATCAGATCTCAAAGCCTCCCTAAAATTGTTTGTTCATCTCTGAGGTGGGATTAATGCATTCTGTACTTCTAGCCTCAGGAAGTTGTGGTTGGCATAATGTGATAATACATGTATTTTGAGAACTCTAAAGTATAATGGAATATTGGCTCATTGCTGTCTTTATTGAATAAGTGTGTCTTTACTGGTTCTTTAAACAGACAAAATGAAGTTATTTGATCAGATGCTTCTGTAGGCGGCAGGCTGGGGCAAGGGTTGTGTAGGTAACTGAGAGTTCCTCCTTATACTCCGCCTCATTTGCTTCATCTACATATGTGTCTTGGTAAGCAGCCCCCAAATGATGGACCGGTCATGGAAAAAAATCTTGAACCCTGACAAATCAGCTTTTGCTCCTGTTTTCTCCAGAGCTTCTCTTGGAAATTGATTTGTCCTAGGGATTCTGGTTGTTTCCAAACCTTCACAAAAGATGCCAATCTCTGAAGACTTAGAAATTTTAAAAATAAATAAAAAAAACTGGAATCACCTAGGCAAATTTCTAGAACTAATCCAGACCCTGCTCTGCCACAAAGTCAGCCGTCAATAGAAGCTTCCAGAGTATTTCATTGTTGCTTGGTCCTCACCCAATCCCAAAAACTTCAAGTAGATGTGGAAAATGTTCTGATTGTTACATGCCACCATAGCCATATGGAGAAGAGAGCTCACACTGAGACAAGCAACCCATTCTTTCTTGTTTCCTCTTTTCTTTTCAGACTAATCATCAGTTGCTAGCAAAGGGATCATTAGGTCTTTACCTTAAAAGATATCTCAGCAAATATTTGTTCGAATGGGAAGGCAATTAATAAAGTTCCTGCTAAAGAACAGGGCAGGATAATGTAATCTGCAAAGATGGGCATGTTCCAACCTGGAGATGAGATAAGGGAAGTGCTTCACATAATGCTGCTTTTACAAACATGGAAGCTTGTGATAGCAGCATTTTGACTCCTAGTGTTGACAACTTTAAAAGCATCATTAATATCCTGAGTGTCAAAGAGACACTATCCTTTATTCTCTCAACTTTGCTTAGTTAGCCTGATTACATTTGTTAATTGCTGACACTGTGAGTAGGGGAAAAAGATGCTACTGTGTGCTCATTTTTCTCTTTTCTGGTTCTATACAATGAAGTTTTTACTGGATTTGGCAAAGATTCTCACAAACATAGCTCAATGTGTCATACAAAGGGACACCGAGGGAAATATCACAGAGATATGGCACTAGCCTCCTTAAATAAATTAAGGATCTATGAAAACAAAGAACACATCAGGCCAACTGTACAGTGTAGGTGAGAAATTAAGATTGAGGTGAATTTATTTTAGTATTATTTAATAAGGATAAAAATTATTTACAAGTATGTGTTAGAATTTTTTCATTATGTGATGAAAAAGATTATAAACAGTCTTAAGTTTTAAAAAAAGGGAACAGGTAAGAACAGAATTGTGTTTTTAAGTTATTATTAAGCCACCAGTGCCTACTATGTGTGGCACTGAAATCCTATTTACTATATATGAAGTATTAGCCATCGCTTAGTATTTGAGACTCTGATTTATAATTATTTTGATATTAACAAGTATCTGTAGAACGTTTCATAATTCATAAATATTTCCTCTACATTATCCTACTAGAGTTATGAGGTAACCCTATGATATAAAATGAGGAGAATAATCTCCATTTATATAGTAAAAAACTGAGGTTAATAACAGAAGATCTTATAGTCTACAGCCTGTAAATAGCTAAAATGCAAAAGTAGGTCATCTTATGTTACAGTTTTTTCCTTAAATAAACCATGTTCTGAATATCCTAAACATCAGTAATGTATAAAATTGATTAAAAACCTAGGAGCCATCTATTGCTATCAAAAGTATGGAAGAAATTATCTTCTAAGATCTACAATGATGTTCATATATTTTGGGAGACAGGAAAGATAGGCAAAAGGAGAGAGCTCAGTGTCTATCTGCATTTATCATAACAGCTAAAACACATATGTATTAGATAGTGGGGTATGACAAATACAAACATTTTCTGAGCAGTAACAGTCTTTGTTTGTAATCATTCAAAAAGCAGCAGCACTAGCTGGCTGATCATACCAGATATCAAGATAATTTAATTTGGAAACATTCCTCTGTATAACCCACAAAGGAAGGTGCCTAAAGTAAGGGGCTTACCTTACAATGTTTACCTAGCCTGTGTGAAAGTCACCCTTTTTGAATGATGAGTTTTTCATCTTTATGCCTTTTATTTTCTTTATGCCTTTTCTTGGCACAAATAATATAATACATCATGGAACATCAGAATAATTTAAGACAAGGTAAGATGCTGGTTCAACAAAGAATGATATATATAAATAAAATTACATTAAATTCTAACAGAATTATCATTTTCACAAAGAAAGGAATGTGAGGACTTCACAAATGTATAGACTCACAAAATAGTATGTATATTATTTTTTAATCATCTTCAAGTGGAACTTACTTAAAGCTTAATTCTCCCTTTCCATTCCTCCCCTGAGCAAGTAGTTTATTCATAACAAAATGATAAAAGGCTCAATACTCCCAGTAAATATTGTCTTGACCCAGAATGCAACTTTTGGGTGCTTTCTTACCCCCAATTTTTTTAATAAATAAAATTTGTCCAGGCATAGTGGCACATGCCTATAATCAATTCCAGCAGCTCGGGAGGCTGAGGCAGGATCACGAGTTCAAAGCCATCCTCAGCAATGGTGAGGCGCTAAACAACTCAGTGAGACCCTATCTCAAAATACAAAATAGGGCTGGGGATGTGGCTCAGTGGTTGAGTGCCCCTGAGTTCAATCCCCAGTACCCCAAAATAAACAAACAAACAAAATCTAGGATTGTTGCTTTTATTAGAATTTTTTTTGTTTCTTATTAAAACAGACCAGCATGATTCTTTGAAATCTATGGGTGTGCTTGATTCCTTTGGCCCAAAGAAGCCAACCATGTCCCCAACTTAAGACTTACTGAAAGGAAAGATGGTTTACAGCCACCAGAGTAAATCTGAGTTCTTTGATTCACTGCTGAACTTCTGCACAGTTGAGGACAATTCTAAACTTTAACTCTGAGCATACAGCTCCATATTTTCAAACAGGGAATGAATCTTCAAACTGACAAGCCGTGTAAAGTGACAAGCTCATAATGTAGTACCTAATTTCATTTGGCAGCTCCCTGGTTTATAGTTCAAGTGAAGGCATACATTTAAAGTCAATTAATTATTTCATTTTCTGGCCTCTATTAGATCTGAGAGTCTTTATTATGGTGACATTTTCATGTCTCTGTAGTTTAGATGATGTCACCAATTTATCGTAAACTCTTCATAATTTTATAATAGTAATACAAATCTGTTTGGGGCTGACAGCTGCCATTATTTTTTCCTGGCAAGTCTTTCCTACCAGAAAAAAAATGGGTTATTTCAGGGTCGGTCTACTTTTTAAAATTCTTTATAATGACATAACTTTGATGTAGTCCTTTCTGCCTTTTACTTTTTTAAATATTACATTTCACCTGTAAGTCTTGACTGGTTTCTCAACCTCAGCACTGTTGAGGTGTTTTAAAATTTGAGGCAAAATTCACCCAACATGGACTTGACTATTCTAAAGTATAACACGCAGTGGTATTTAGTACATTCATGATGTTGTACAACCAAATAGTTCCAAAACATTTTCATTACTTGCAAAGGAGACACCATATCCATTAAGATATCACCTTCTGTTTCCCTTCTTCCAGACTCTGCTTACTGAATCTAATCTGCTTTCTATTTATTTGCCTATTTTGGATATTTCACATAAACAAAATAATACAATATGTGACATTTTGTTCTACACACTGTGCACATGCATCTGTTTTTTCCCCCCAAGTAGCATACTGTTTTTGAGGTTTATTCATGTTGTTATTATTTAGACCACATTCCTTTTTATGACTGAATAGTATCCTATTGTATGATTATGCCACATTTCATTTATCCATTCGTCAGTTGGTGGGAATTTGTTTATTTTCCACCTATTGTGAATACTGTTGCTGTGAATACTAATGTACAAGTTTTGGTTTGAGTGTTGTTTTTTAGTTATTTGGGTACACATTAAACAGTGACTAAAGACACTTGGGACTAGATTAGTCTTTGTTGTGGGACTGTCCTGTGTATTGTAGGATGTTTAACAGCATCCTTGGCCTCTCTCCGTTGTATGCCAGTAGCACCCCTGTCCTTAAAGTTGCGACAATTGAAAATGTATCCAGACATTGCCAAATAGCTCCTAAGGAAAAAAAGTGGCCC